GTTTTGTTTTTTGTTTTTCACTTTTTTTTTTTAGGTACTCTTTTAGTGGTTGCTCTGGGGATTACAGTATGCATCTTAATTTATCACAGTTTACCTCAGATTAATACTTAATTCCAGTAAAATAAAGAAATTCTTTGATTGTAATTATTCTTCCTCCTCTCCTTATTCTACTGTTGTCATATATATTATATTTTTATATGTTAGGTACCAAACATTGGTTTTATAATTTAAAATAATTTAAATATAATTTAAAGATTTTATTTATTTATTTGACAGAGACACAGTGAGAGAGGGAACATAAGCAGGGGGAGTGAGAAAGGGAGAAGCAGGCTTCCTGCCAAGCAGGGAGCCCAATGGAGGGTTTGATCCCAGGACCCTAGGAACACGACCTGAGCTGAAGGCAGACACTTAACGACTGAGCCACCCAGACGCCCCTGGTTTTATAATTATTTTTAATGTAATTGTCTTTTGTATCATTTGAGAGGAGAAAAGAGAAAAATATATTTATACCAACTTCAACATTTATCTTCATAATTAATTATCAGTGTTCTTAATTTCTTCATATAGATTTGAGGTATCGTTTTCTTTTAACCTGAAGAACTTCTTTAGTATTTCTGGTAAGGGCAGGTCTGCTAGTAACACATTTCTTTATCTTTACTTTTCTGAGATGTCTTTATTTTACCTTCATTTTGAAGGATAATTTTGCTGGATATAGAATTCTTGTTTTAGGGGTGCCTGGGTAGCTCAGTGGGTTAAGCCTCTGCCTTTTGGCTCAGGTCATGATCTCAGGGTCCTGGGATCGAGCCCCACATTGGGCTGTCTGCTCAGCGGGGAGCCTGCTTCCCCCCTCCCCGCCTGCCTCTCTGCCTACTTGTGATCTCTGTCAAATAAATAAATAAAAATCTTAAAAAAAAAAAAGGCAAAAAAAATTCTTGTTTTAGAGTTATTTTCTTTCAGTACTTTGAATAGATTACCCCACTGACTTCTGGCCATCTGTGGTTTCTGATGAGAGGTTTTCCTCTTGCTGTTTTTAGGATTTTCTGTTTGTCTCTGGCTTTTGACAGGATCTGTACTTTAGTTATTTTGTTCCCTGTTGATTTCATCATCTGTGTACAATCCTAATAAACCATAATTTCATAACAAACTGATACAGTGCCAGGATTTCACTTTAAAGCAATAGTCATATAATATTTACTTAATAATTATATATATATATATGATGTTAATACCACAAGGAGGCATTAAGAAGGTACTCAGTGCGGGGCACCTTGGTGGCTCAGTTGGTTAAATGTCTGCCTTTTGCTCAAGGATCAGGCCCCACCTCAGGCTCCCTGCTCCTCTGGGAGCCTGCCTTTTCCTCTCCCTCTGCCTGCCTCTCCCCCTGTTTGTGCTCTCTGTCAAATACATAAGTAAAATCTTAAAAAGGAAAAAAAAAGTATTCAGTGCATACAGATAGAATTAATGGAGGATTGGATAATGACTCAGAATCATAAAACATTACCCTTGCTCAGACTTTTTGTTTAATAAACAGCTTTATTGAGATATAGTTAACATATCATACAATTCACTTAAATTGTACAATTTTTGAAATGATATTTACAGTATAGCCATTATCATAATCTAATTTTGGAATATTCCTTTCTCCCAAAATAGAAACCCAGTACTCATTAGCAGTTGTTCCTTTCCTCTTCCACCCCCACCACCTATCCCCCTCCAGCTTTAGGCAGCCACTAATTTACTTTTAGTCTCTATAGATTTGCCTATTCTGGACATTGAAGTCATATGATACTATGATGTTTCTTTCACTTGGCATATCTTTTAAGGTTCATCATTGTAATAGCATATATTAGTACTTTTATATCTTTTTATTGACAATGAATATACCCATTGTGTATATACCAAGTTTTATGTATCCATTTATCAATTGATAGTTGAGTTGTTTCTACTTTTTGGCTCTTAGGAATGAATATTTGTATACAAGTATTTGTGTGGACCTATGTTTCATTATCTCTTGGGTACATACCTAGGAGTAGAAATGGTGGAAAATCCGGTAACCATGTTTCTCCTTTTGAGGAACCACCTGGTTGTTTTCCGAAGTGGCTGTACCAGTTTTACATTTCCACCAGTAGTATGAAGGCTTCAGTTTCTCTATACCCTCATCAATATTTGTTACTTTTGTATTCTAGTCATTCTAGTGGATAGTGGATGGAATGGTATTTTATTGTGGTTTTGATTTTTTTTTTGTTTTTTTCTTGGGGCAAATGATGTTGAGCATCTTTTCATGTGCTTATTGTCCCTTTGTATATCTTCTTGAGAAATGTCTGTTTAGATCCTTTGTGTTTTTTTTAAATTGGGTTCTCTTTTTCTCATTGAATTGAGAAAAACTTATATATAAAAATTCTCGATGTAAGTTCCTTATCTCATATATGACTTGCAAATATTTGCTCCCATTCTGTAAGTTGTCTTTTCATTTCCTTAATGGTATCATTTGAGCACAAAAGTTCTAAATTTTGATATAACCCAATTTATCTATTTTTTTCTTTTGTTACTTGTGCTTTTGGCTCTATCATCTAAGAAGCCATTGCCTAACCAAAGGTTGTGAAGATTTACTCCTCTATGTTTTCTTCTAAGAATTTTATAGTCTTACCCCTTACATTTAGGTCTGTGATCCATTTTGAATTAATTTTTGTATATTAATTAAATTTTTAAAAATTAAATTAATTAAATTTTGTGTATGAACCTTGGTATACTCAACTTTCTACCACCTTCCTATAAGCTCTGGCATTACTAAACCTCTTGTTATTTCCCAGCTATGCTACATCTTTCTTCCTTGTATATTGCTTTACATTAACTATGCCCTTTGCCCTTAATACCCCCCTTCTCCTGTTCCTCCAACTTCATTCTTTTGCTTGTGGAGATCCAGTTGTCCAATTACCATTTATTAAAAGACAATTCTTGGGGTGCCTGGGTGGCTCAGTGGATTAAGCCTCTGCCTTTGGCTCAGGTCATGATCTCAGGGTCCTGGGATCGAGCCCTGTATCCGGCTCTCTGCTCAGCAGGGAGCCTGCTTCCCCACTCTCTCTGCCTGCCTCTGCCTACTTGTGATCTCTCTCTTTCTCTTTGTCAAAACAAACAAATAAAATCTTTAAAAGACAATTCTTTCCCTCATTGATTTGTCTTGGGACCCTTCTCAAAAATTAATTGACCATAAATGTAAGGGTTTATTTTTGACTCTCAACCCAGTTTCATTGATCTGCATATTTGTCCTATGCCAGCGTCATACTGTCTTGATTACTGGAGCTTTGTAGTAATTTTTGAAATCAGGAAATGTGAGTCTTCTAGCTTTTGTTCTTTTTCAAGATTGTTTTGGCTATTCTGGGTTCCTTCCATATCTGTGTGAATTTTAGGATAAACTTAATTTCTGCAACAAAAAGGCCAGCTGGGGGATTTTTATAGGGATTGCATTGAATGATTTGTAGAGTATTGGTATTATAACAATATCAAGTCTTATGATCCATGAACTAGCTCAGAATTTAGCATTCTTTGTTTCAAGCCCTCTACTGATCAGAAAGCAAGAGCTCAGAAAAATCAGGTGACTTGCCTATGGTCCTACATCTAGAGTGGCAGAACTAGGACTTAAACTGATTTTCTCTATGTAGTCTTCTTTCTATCCATCATGTTTTGATGTTTTCCTTGTCCACTACATAGTCTAATGTACATAAGAGACTAACATAAAGGAAGATCTATGCTGTTCAGATGCATTGAAGAAAGGACCAAAATCATATTATCATTTTATTCTTTAAAACAAAAAATCATTCTGGGGCGCCTGGGTGGCTCAGTGGGTTAAGCCACTGCCTTTGGCTCAGGTCATGATCTCAGAGTCCTGGTATCGAGCCCCGCATCGGGCTCTCTGCTCTCTAGGGGAGCCTGCTTCCTCCTCTCTCTCTGCCTGCCTCTCTGCCTGCTTGTGATCTCTCTGTCAAATAAATAAATAAAATCTTTAAAAAAAAAAAAAATCATTTTATCTTTATCATTTATTTCTTTTTATCTTTTTATCTTTATCATTTTATTCTTTAAAACAAAACCAAAAAAAACCAAAGATTTGCTTTTTTTTTTTTTTAAAGATTTTGGGGCCCCTGGGTGGCTCAGTGGGTTAAAGCCTCTGCCTTCGGCTCAGGTCATGATCCCAGGGTCCTGGGATCGAGCCCCGCATCGGGCTCTCTGCTCAGCAGGGAGCCTGCTTCCTCCTCTCTCTCTGCCTGTCTCTCTGCCTACTTGTGATCTCTGTCTGTCAAATGAATAAAAAAAAAAAAAAAAAACTTAAAGATTTTATTTATTTATTTGTCAGAAAGAGAGAGAGAGAAAGCACACAAGCAGGCAGAGAGGCAGGCAGAGGCGGAGAGAGAGGCAGGCTCCCTGCTGAGCAAGGAGCCCGATACGGGACTCAATTCCAGGACCCTGGGATCATGACTCGAGCCGAAGGCAGCGGCTTAACCCACTGAGCCACCCAGGCGTCCCGATTTGCTTTTTTTTAAAAAGACAAAAAACAAAGAGTTTTATTAGTATTACTGGGTAAAAGCAGTATGGCAGACTATAATGGTTATTGGATTAGGGACTTATAAATAAGAGACTTCTAAATTGAGCTTCAGAAGCCATAGCTATCAGAGAATAGGAATTGATTATCCAAACTTGAATCTCTTGTTTATATAGCTACTTTAATTGAAAATAAAACTAAGATGCATCAAAAAGTTTATATTTGAAAGGAGTAGCTCCGATTTCACAGATATTATATGTCTTTGCAAAAGGATTGGACCTGTAATTTTATATGGTAAAGATAATTGTGCTGTTGTTTGATTAATAAGGAAAAATCTTTCTCATTGTAACTTTTGCCTTGTATAGTTCTTTTAAGAATATTTGTTTTTCTAGCCTAGCATGTATATTAAGATCACAAATGATGAATTATGTTGGATAAGGGAAATGTTACTCTGCCTTTTCTTTAGCTGAAGATCCATCCAAAAGCTATGTGAAATTAAGAGACTTTGTGCTTGTGAAGCTTTGTCAAGATTTGCCCTGTTTTTCCCGGGAAAAGTTGATGCAAGGATTCAGTGAAGACATGGCAATAGAGGCACAACAGAAGTTCAAAATAAATAAGGTATTTTTATTCTGTAGAAGAAAATAAATTCAGTTTTGAAGTTTTCTTTCTTTTTTTTTATAAGAAGTTGTTTTTCTTGTTCTTTTTTTTTTTAAGGTTTTATTTATTTATTTGACAGAGAGATCACAAGTAGACAGAGCAGCAGGCAGAGAGAGAGGCAGAAGCAGGCTCCCTGCTGAGCAGAGAGCCAGATGCGGGGCTTGATCCCAGGACCCTGAGATCATGACCAGAGCTGAAGGTAGAGGCTTAACCCACTGAGCCACCCAGGCGCCCCTCTCTCTCTTTTTTTAAGTATGTAACTTAAACATTGCAAGTACATTAAGAGTACAAGTACATGTGTGGGAAGTAGCAGTGGTTGACAGTACAGGCTCTGAAGCCAAATTGTCTGTGTTAAGATCTGGCTACACCACTTAGTCTGTGACTTAGGGCAATTTAATTTCCCCATTAATAGAATAGGAAGATAGTTGATATTATGGCTGTATTAAGTGTAACAGGCAGAACAAAATGGAAAGTATGATCTTACTTTTACTTTTTAAGAATATGTTTGAAATGGTAAAATAGTTAATACATGTGGAGAAATATATATACTTCTATATATTTGAATTTTAAAGTAGTAAATACCCTTAAAATAAGTATAGAAAAAGTAATCTGGCAGTTCAGAGGAGGGAGTTTAGTTTATTGTATTTGTGTATGCAAGGGAATCAGTTTTTCATGGGACGGAGATGCATTTGATCTAAGCCTTGAAGAATGGAAGAATGGGTAGGATTTGGATTATGAAGGTATGTGAGGGGCGCCTCAGTGGCTCAGTTGGTTGAGTATCAGACTTGATTTCAGCCCAGGTCATGATCTTGGGGTCCTGGGTTTGAGGCCTGTGTTGGGCTCAGGACTCAGCATAGAATCTTCTTGGGTTTCTTTCTCTCTGCCCTGGGCCCCCGCTCATGTGCATGCTCTCTTTCAAAATAAATAAAGAAATCTTAAAAGAAGAAAAAAAGAGAGAGAGAGAGAGAGATGAAGGGTATTCTAATAATAGGGACTAGTATATGATTCTCTTCCCTTCTCCTTTGTTTCTAAGGTGTTACAGTTCCTGATTTTTTTTCACTTAGTACTATGATTATCTTTTTTGAGATACTTTTACTGGATTTTACTCTTCTGTATGTCCCCTAAAGATAATTCTCCCCCAGAGTTCCTTATTCAGTCCTCATTTTCTCTCACTTTGCTTACTCCACCTGGGAGATCTCATCCAACTCTCCAATGTAGATTTTCCTCTTATACTCCCACGAGTGTATATAAAAAGTATCCTGAGGCATATGGGTGGCTCAGCCAGTTGGGTATCTCACTCTTGATTTCAGCTCAGGTCATGATCTTGGGGTTGTGGGGTTGAACCCCCTACATCCGGCTCCCTGCTTAGTGGGGAGTCTGCTTAAGATTCTCTCTCCCTCTCTCTCTCTCAAAATAAATAAATCTTTTTTTTAAAGAAAGGTGAAAAATGTTTCCTGGTCACTGACCTTCAATAGCTTAATTTGAACTGAAACTTTCCATCTTTTCCTTCATTAAAACACTTTAATAGCTTCCTGGTTTTAAGATAAATATATGTTTTAGAAATATTTGGTATGTCCAGAGTATATCAAACCTTTAGAGAATTTATTCAACTGCTCAGCTTTTAAAAGAAAGAGAATATGAACACATTTTTCAAAATCATGCTTTTTTTTCTCTTTCTTAAAGGAATTAAAACTTAGTATGGCACACTGAGCCCGTCATAATTGGACCCTGCCAACCTTGGTAGACTCAACTTTCTACCACCTTCCTATATGCCCTGGCATTACTAAACCTCTTGTTATTTCCCAGCTATGCTACATCTTTCTTCCTTGTATATTGCTTTATGTTAACTATGCCTTTTGCCCTTGATACTTACTTCTCCTGTTACTCCATCTTTGCCTTGCCAGTTATTACTCATTTGTTCAGGTGTTCCTTCTGAAGGTTCAAACATCATCTTCCCAGTCTACCTACACCTGATCTCTCCCCTATCCCCAATAAGTATAATAGTGAAACAACACAAACAATGGGCTACTCTTGGCTTCAGTGATACCAAGATTTCTTGATTTTCCTAATATTTCTTTGTTTTTCTCTGCCCTGTAACTGTCACTGTACTACAGGGTTCTGACCCTCCTCATTTTTTCACTGTTTATGCTTTCCTAACCAATACTGTGGTTTTAACTCATGCCTGTATACTGATACTCCTTAAATCTTCATTCTTAGACTAGTGTTTTCTTTAGATTTATATGTTCTGCTGCCTCCTAAATCTCTCCTAGGCTGTGAAAACTCACTGTCATTCCACATTCTCCTCCACACCCAGTCCTTCCTGTTCTGTATATCTAGAATCCTTGTTCTTTTAGTGTTCTTTTTTTCTTTTCTTTTTTTTTTCTTTTAGTGTTCTTACTGGTTCTTAGTTCATGCCTTCATTTTTTGCCTGATTTAATAGCACAGCTTCGCAATCTCCCTGTCCTTTTTGCTACCATTTCTATGTAGCTGAAATAACACTTTTCTTAAAACTCATTTGTGCGCTTTGCTCACACCTCCATTTAAAATCCATCTCCTTGGGGTGCCTGGGTGGCTCAGTTAATCAGGCGTATGACTCTTGATTTTAGCTCAGGTCATGATCTTGGAGCCCTGGGATCAAGCCCTACATCCAGCTCTGTGCTCAGTATGGAGTCTGCTGGAGATGATCTCCCTCTCCTCCTACCCCTGCTCACACACTCTTGCTCTAAAATAAATAAATAAAAAATTTTAATAATAAAATAAAAAGTAAAATCTGTCACCTACTAGATAAAAGCCCAACTCTTTAATATATTATGTAAGGTTCTGTGCTTCTGCTCTGTCCTCACATTACTTCTACTCACTACTTTTCATTTTGTGCTTCAGCCATGTCAAGCCGCCTCAGTCTTGCATGTGCGTGCTATGTGCACTTGTACACTCACAGTGCCCTCTCCTCTTTCTAGACTGACATGGTCCCTTCCCTTTAAGATTTAGCTCAGGTTTTCTTTCCTCAGGAATCTTCTTCTAAGATTTATGCCATTCCCAGGCTATGCTACCATAATACCCTACACATATTTCCAATTTAAATTAACATATTTAAATTAACCATACCTCAGTCATTTGTGTTACCTCTTAGGCTGCTAGCTCCTCAAGGGCAGAGACTATCTTTTACTGTTTTTCATCTGGTACCTAGCACAATTTCTGGCCCATAGCAGATACTCAGTGTATCCTGTGTTCTTTTGGGAAAGTGTCTCTATTTTGTAATTAAAAGCGTTCATGTTTTTCTTTTGTTTCATTAAGCAACATGCTAGGCGGGTTTATGAAATTCTTCGACTACTGGTAACTGACATGAGTAATGCTGAACAATACAGAAGCTATAGACTGGACATTAAAAGAAGACTAATTAGTCCATATAAGGTAGGACTTTCCAGAGTCTTAAACATTTATATTCTTGTAACTATTTAAAAATGGAGAAGAGGGGCACCTGGGTGGCCCGGTTGGTTTAGCTGCTGCATTTGGCTCAGGTCATCATCTCAGGGTCCTGGGAATGAGCCCTGCATTGGGCTCCCTGCTCAGCGGGGAATCTGCTTCTGCCCCTCCCCAGCTCATGCTCTTTCTCTCTCTCTCTCTCAGATATATAAGTAAAATCATTAGAAAATAACAAATAAGTAAGTAAGTAAATAAATAAATAAAAGGGAGAAGTGGGTCACCTGACTGGCTCAGTCTACAGAGCATGTGATTCAGTCTTGAGGTCGAGAGTTCAAGCCCCCCATTAGGGGTACAGTTTACTTTAAAAAATTCTTTTTAAATAAATAATAAAATAAAATGGAGAAGAAAGTGTAGCACTTGCCAGTGTATGGGGCAGTCCAAATCATTTTCCTAAATTAACTTTTACAAACATGAAAATATTCTTCCAGTTAGTTATAAAAAGTCTTAATGTCATAATTTTTGAGCTATAGATCTGTTTTCATTCACTTGGAAACTAATCCCAAGGATGGTCTACCCATAGTTACTTTTTATTTCATTTGTTTGCCATCTTTTAAAAATCTGAATGCTCAGACTTTTCCTAAATAAATAATCTTGTTAAAAGTCTCAAGTTTGTTCTAAACTTGCTCTAAGTCTCTAGTTTCCTAGTTGTTATATATATTGTGTTTGCCTTTGCTCCCTTCTTCCTAAATATGGCCTTGGTTGTCATTTTTAACCTCTGTACTTTACCATCATTGAAACTGCAGCATAATATTATTTACTTTTTTTTTTTTTTTTAACAGTCTTTCTTCTTGCCCTCTACCCTTACCCATTTTCTTATCTCCCATATATTCCTCTCAGAAACTTCCCCTCCTAGATCAGGTTTGTCCTCATCACCCTCTGGCTATTATTAAGGTAGATATTGCCCATGACAACCTGTGTAAATGAGGATTTGCTGTGATAGTTGCAGCTGTGCAGTAAGCTGATGGGGGAGAATATTTGTTAATTTGTTCAATAAATAATTAATGAGCACCAGACCTGTGGTTGCTACATTTATATACACTATACCTGTAGGTTTATGCAGTACAATAGCTGAGAACATAAATGACAAATCTAAAAAGTTTCTGTCTTATGGACTACCTATAACAGGTTGTAATACATTATAATGGTCTCTCTCCCCCCAAATTTTTCAAAGTAACATTTTATTCTTTGATATTTATCACTTGAGAAACATCAGAAAATTGGTAAAAATGGTTCTTTCCAAAAGTTTTGAGTTTTGAAGTAATATTAATTTGCCATCTATAAAGTGTCTTTATGTTGAAATTTGGGGTATATAGAACAGTGTAATTAGATGTTATCACAGCAGCATTTCACAGTACAGGCACACCTCAGAGATATGGTGGGTTCAGTTCCAGACCCCTACAATAAAGTGAATATTGCCATAAAGCAAGCTAAATGAGTTTTTTTATTTTACAGTGCATATAACAGTTACATTTACACTATACTGTATTTTGCTCAGTGTACCATAGCATTATGTTTGAAAACTGACATACCTTAATTTAAAAATATTTTATTACTAAAAAATGCTATTATCTGAGCTTGGAGTAAGTCATAATGTTTTTGGTGGTAGAGTGTCTCACTTTGATGTTAATGGCTGCTGACTGTGATCAGCATGGTGGTTACTAAAGGTTGGGATTGACTATAACAGTTTCTTAAAGTAAGACAGTAGTGAAGGTTGTCCCATCAATTGACTCTTCCTTTCTCTATAGCATGCGATGCTTTTTGATAGCATTTTATCTACAATAGAACTTTTTCAAAATTGGGAGTCTGTATTCACAAACCCTGCTTCTGCCTTATCAACTAAGTTTATGTAATATTCCAACTCCTTCACAACATCTTCATCAAGAGTAGTTTCCATCTCAAGAAGTCACTTTCTTTGCTAATGCATAAGCAGCAGCTCCTCATCTGTTCAGCATTTATCATGAGATTGCAACAGTTCAGTCACACTTTCAGGCTCCACTTCTAATTCTAGTTCTCTTGCTATTCCACTACATCTGTGGTTGTGCTCGCTTTGGCAGCACATATACCACTACATCTGTGGTTACTTCCTTCATTGAAGTCTTGAACCCCTCAGAGTCATCCATGAGGGCTGGGATAAACTTCCATATTCCCTTTGTTAAGGTTGATATTTTGAGTCTTCCCTTGAATCTCGAGTGTTCTTATTGGCATCTAGAATGGTGAATCCTTTCCAGAAGTTTTCAGTTTACTCTGAATAAGTCTGTCAGAGGGATCACTATCTACAGCAGCTATAGCCTTATGAAATGTACTTCTTAAATAGTAAGACTTGAAAATCAAAATTACTCCTCAATTCATGGGCTACCGAGTGGATATTGGTTAGCAGGCATGAAAACAACATTAGTTTTGTTGTACATCTCCATCAGAGCTTTTGGTTGACCAGGTACATTGTCAGTGAGCAGTAATCTTTTAAAAGAAATACTTTTTTCTGAGCAGTAGGTCTTAACAGTGAACTTAAAATATTCTGTGAACTATATTGCAAACAGATGCTGTCATCTAGGCTTTGTTGTTCTCTTAGAGCATAGGCAAAGTAAAACCAGCAGAGTCCTTAAGGGCCCTAGGATATTTGGAATGGTCAGCAATGGCTTCAGTTTAGTCACCAGCTGCATTAGGGACTGGTGACTACACCCGAAACAAGGGACTCTGCCTGTCCTTTGAAGCTTTGAAGCCAGGCATCTCCTCTCTAGCGATGAAAGTCCTAGATGGCATCTTCTCCAATAGAAGGCTATTTTAGGGTACCTGGCTGGCTCAGTCAGAAGAGCATGTGACTCGGGATACCTGGGTGGCTCAGTCGGTTAAGTGTCTACCTCGGGCTCAGGTCATGATCTCTGGGTCCTGGGATCTGGCCCCACATTGGCTTCCTGCTCAGCTGGAAGTTTGCTTCTCTTTCTCTCTCCCCCTCTCTCCCTCTGCCCCTCCCCACCACTCTTTCTCTCTCTCAAATAAAAATCTTAAACAAAACAAAACAAAAAACATGTGACTCTTAATCTCAGGGTCATGGGTTTGAGCCCCACATTGGGTATAGAGATTACTTAAATAAACTTAAAAAAAAAAAGACAACAGCTGTTTTGTCTACACTGCAAATCTGTTGTTTAGTGTAGCCACCTTCGTTAATTATCTTAGCTAGATCTTCTGGAGAACTCGCAGTTTCTGCATTAACAGTTGCTGCTTCATGTCTTACACTTTAACGTTATAGAGATGACTTCTTGCCTTAAACCTCATGAACCAACCTCTGCTAGCTTCCAACTTTTCTTCTGCAGCCTCTTCATCTCTCTCAGCCTTCAGAGAATTGAAGAGTTAGGTCTTGCTCTGGATTAGGCTTTGGCCTAAGGGAATGTTGTGGCTGGTTTGGTCTTCTATCCAGACCACTAAAACCTTCTCCATATCAGCAATAAGACTGTTGTGCTTTCTTATCATTTGTGCATTCACTGGAGTAGCACTTTCTCAATTTCCTTCAAGAGCTCTGCATTCAGAACTTTGCCTGTTTGGCACAAGAGACCTACTGCTTTTTGGCTTATCTCAGCTTTCAGTATGCCTTCTCACTAAGCTTAATCATTTCTAGCTTTGATTTAAAGTGTGAGATGTGCAGTTCTTCCTTTCACTTGAACATTTAGAGGCCATTGTAGGGTTAATTTCAATATTGTTGTGTCTCAGGGAATGGGGGTCCAGGAGTGGGAGGGTGATCGGGGGACACCTGGTTGGTAGTACAGTCAGAACACACGCAACACTAAGTTTATCATCTTCTGTGGCTCAGTTTGTGGTGCCCCAAAATAATTACAATAGTAACATCAGAGATCACTGATCATAGATCACCACCACAAATATAATAGTAATGAAAAAGTTTGAAATCAGGAATTACCAAAATGAGACACAGAGACATGAAGTGAACAAATACTGCTGGGAAAATGGTGCCAGTAGACTTGGTTGATGCAGGGTTGCCACAAACCTTTGATTTGTTTAAAAAACAACAACAACAACAACAACCCAGAATTATCTGCGAAGCACAATAAATTGAGGTATGCCTATATTAAAATTGTTTTAGTAAAATAAAATGATTTATTGAATTATGCATCTCAGATCATTATTTGACTTCAAATAATTTGGGCAGATGTAGCCCATGAGAGATGATGAATTCTAAGTGTAAGCAGCCACAAACTCATGCCAAATCGGAATTTCTGTAGTTCATAAAAGCAAGTATTTTTTACTCTCAAGGCATGGTAATGATTTGACTTTTTCACTATTAAGTATCCTCACCCTGCAAACAAGTTGACCTATCTGAAAGACAACTAAATTGGTTATTAAACTCTAGGTTCTTAACACAGCTGAGTATCACCATCCTTGCACTAAAGCTCATACACAGATCACAACTTCTTCAGAATATAGTTGATTGAACTATATTATAGTAATGTACATTTTAATAAGTTCAGTTATCCAGTATTCTCTCCCACTGAGAAAAACAAGAAAGCTTGAGGGTGCCCCTCCCCTATTTTAGGTTTATAGTCCCAATTCTTGGGGTAGGAAACCTACCACAAACTTTAAGAAAGTCTAGGGATGAGTTTACTGTCCAGTGGGCATGGGGGGAGTGCTGGAATTTCCTTGTTGAATGGATGCAGATGATTTTCAATTTGTTTTTCCAGTATGATAATTAGGTACTTTCTTGTGTTATTATACTATTCTCAGATGTAAAATTATATTTAAAAATAAAGTAAAATTGCTTAATAATGAGTGTGATTTAAAACTTTTTAAGGTCTTTAAAATTATGCCTAATGGGGAAAGTTTTGAGTATAAAATTTACATGTTTACTTTCATATTTCATGAAAATAAATTATAATTTAGATTGTCACTGTTATTACTGAGGTACAAAATTATTGATTTGTTGATAGCAAATTCTGTACTGCCTTTATTTGAGGAATCAAGGTTACCTGTCAGTCTAAACACACTCTCCCACTAAGAAATTATTTGGGTAGCTATTACAAGCAAGTACAAGTACAAGTACCTTGCTTTAAAAGTTTTTAAACACTGCTAATTCATTTGTATCATTGCCAAAAGAGGGAAATAACCTGTATTGACTAGAATCATTTTTTTAAAGCACAAAAAGAAACTCCATCTCTAGTACAGAAATAATTTTCAGATATTCAAAAAAAGATAAATTTGAACCATTTGGCTAAAAGAAAATTGGTGTAGCTGCTTGGTTTTAGCATTAAAGCTTTTATATTGTTTCATGGGAATATTTAAATTCTTAGTTGGTTTACAAATATAAAATACAGAATCATTATTAATATCACTGCATTTGGAATCTGGAAACTCAGTTTTCAGGTCTGGTTCTTTTAGAAATTGTTTAACTGTTGACAACTTATTAACACCTGGGTATTAGGCTTTCCCTTCCATAAAATGGAAATGCCTCTATAGTTAGGAACTGAACAGAAAGAAAGAAAATACAGTGGTGCATGTTTTAAAAGATGTCTTTTGACAAATCTTTGGAATTAATATGCCTCCATTGTTATTTTAAAATTAGTACAAAAGAACCTTATCTCTGTACTTCACAAAAGTGACTAGTTCAACCAAAGGCAATTAAGGAGCCCTTAGAGGTGGTATCATTTTTGAGATCAAATTTGTAAGTCCTTCAGGAACATGTGAAAGCTAAGCAAGAAGAAAGGATTATTTTCTGGAAAAATTCATATCCAAGCCAAATGTTAACACAAATAAGTTTAAAATAGTGCCATCTTTGTCTTCGTTAATTAAAAATTATGAACTGCTCTAATCTGTGAAGGAATTAAGTTTTCGTTTTTGGTGGGGAAAAAATTATTCTAAAGCTTATAGAATATCCGAGTCTTAAGGGTTTCTGCCTTTCATTGTTTCATTTGTTCTCCCAAGGTATTATCACTTTGTTGGATAGGGGTGGGATCCTCAAATCAGTTTGGGATTTTTTAAGTGTTTTTTTACACACTGTTTTAAAGATAATTTGTAATATATCGTACATATAGACAATGGAATATATACAATTTAAGGGATATTAGAGGCCAATAAAGGAAATAACCTCAAAATAGTTATGTTTAAAATTGAATCATACCTTACATATTCACAAGGAGCTTAAATATATAGTTTTATATTTTTTCCATAAAGCTACTTATAAGTATTTTTATTCCTGTGTGTTTTATTTTATTATCACTTTTAAAAAGATTTTATTTATTTATTTGAGAGAGCGAGAGCATGGACACACTGAGCATGAGGCCGGCAGGGAGTGGGGAGAGGCAGAGGGAAAAGCAGACTCCCTACTGATCAGGAAGACCGACAAAAGGCTCCATCCTGGACTCTGAGATCATGACCTGAGCAGAAGTCAGATGCTTAAGCAGCTGAGCCACCCAGGCACTGCTAATTCATAAATTTTCTGTCATGCCAATAAAAATTACAGTGGTGATTAATTCTGATACCCAATGAAGTAATTGAAGGTTGGGGGGTGATAAATTGGGGATGTAAGCTCTCAGATTTAAGAAGAGCATAATAATTTCAAACAGTATGTTACTGGCACAGGATTCATTTTATAGGTTATTTGCAACAAAATTGGATAGTCTAGAAATATTTAAGAATTTAATATGATGGTTCTATTATATATATAAGAATTTAATAATTGGAGGTATCTTCAAGCAGTGGGGTTAGATTATCTATAACTGGTTAGCAATTTAGAAAAATAGCTTCTATTCCTATCAGACGTCACAGTAATTTGCTGATGAATTACCCTTTACTTCCTGAACTGCTTTCTTAAGTTAAATGTTCTTATATAGCGCAGTCGTGCCTGTTGGCAGAAAAATTAACTTTTACAGCTGAAACAAAGCATTTATCATTCATATGATTGAAGAGTAAGGAATATACTCTCCTGGTGGGTCTTAGGAACAGTAAATTTGAACTTTTTTTTTTTCTTCCCAAGATTTTATTTATTTATTTGAGAGAGAGAGCATGAGAAGGGGGAAGGTCAGAGGGAGAAGTTGACTCCCTGGCAAGCAGGAAGCCTGTGCAGGACTGGATCCCTGGACTTCAGGATTATGACCTGAGCCGAAGGCAGTTGCTTAACCAACTGAGCCACCCAGGCATCCCTAAATTTGAACTTTCATCAGTTTTCTGGAACTGATATTCATAGTGTGATCAGTAACATTAACATCACTTAGGAGCTTGTTAGAAATGCAGAATTTTGAGGGCACCTGGGTGGCTCAGTCCGTTGAGGGTCTGCCTTAGGTCATGATCTCAGGTCCTGGAATGGAGGCATGCCCTCCTTCCCCACCCACCCAGGCTTCCTGCTCAGTGGGGAACCTGCTTCTCCCTCTCCTCCCTGTCTCTCCCCCTGCTTTTTCTCTCTCTAGCAAATGAATAAATAAAATCTTTTTTTTTTTTAATGCAGATTCTTGTCCCCCACACTTACTGAGTCAGAATCTGCATTTATCAAGGTCCCTGGTGATCTGTATACACATTGAAGTTTGAGAAGTACTGCTTTAGAAGGGCATTTTATATTAATGAAGCTAGCTTTTTAAAATTTCTGGTTATAGTAATAGCAACCTTGTTTACTACTGGCTCCATCAATTTAAACTAGGATCAACCTAATTTTTTTATAGTGTTAGCCACCTTGTTTTACATATGGTTTAGGGGCACCTGGCTGGGTCAGTTGGTAGAGTATGTAACTCTTGATCTCAGAATCATGAATTCAAGCCCCATGATGGGTGTAGAGCTTACTTAAAAATTAATTAATTAATTAATTAATTTTAAAAATGTGTGGTTATTAATTTAGCTTAATTTTGGGCTTTTTAAGTAGTAATCATGACACATTTGCCTAGTATTCCAAAATTATTAGGGTTCTCTTTAAGGGGCCTTTATTAGTTTTTAGGATGTATTTAGGGTTTGGTTTTTTAATTGTCTTTTGAAAGTGAATTAGATATAGGAACTAAACAATACAGATTTCCAACCAGATTGTTAGGATTTGCATCCTGGCCACTCATCTTACTACCTTTGTGTCAAGTTACTGAACTCCCATATCCTATTTTTTCTTTATCAATTGTAGAAAATTAGACTACCAATCTTATGGAGTTGTTAGGATTACATGAGTTATTATATGTGATTTCTGATCTTTTTGTAAAGTTAACTCTTCATTATATGTTCTAGTAAAAGAAGATAGATATATTAATCTAGAACAGTTTAAGCAAAATGTATGAAAGTTGCATATATTGCAGTGTTTCCTTACTGTATTGCAGTGCAGCCACCTCTCCAAGAATCTTGGAGTCATTCTTCATTCCCCTTATCACCCAGTATTTCCTTTCCCTTCCATCTGTGTTCCTACTGACTTGGTCTGTAGAGGCTTTCATCGTCTCACTTGAATTTTTGCAGTAGCTGCTAACTTGGTCCTCCAGTCCTATCCTCAGCATTACTAACAGTGTTGTTCTGACACAGTTTCCTACCTGAAAGCTGTTACTGGTTCTCTTCTGGCCCAGCATGGTGGGTTCCTTCTCAGTAAAATGTGGTGGGTAGGGCGGGTTAATAATATAATGTATTTCTGGATAATAGAAATTCAGTAAGTGGCAGTAGTTAATACTATATTTTTAAAGTGTGACAGTTTTGGGTTATCTTTCTGAAACTCTTTAAACGTTTATGTTAAAATTAACATGTGGTCCATAAATATATCACTGGGTAGGGAAACTTAGAGATGAACTTAGTGTCAGGAAAAAGGCAGTTTGGAATTAAAATTAATGCAATGAATTAATGATTGAATACCGAAATGTAGAATAATAGCACTTAATCTCAGTTGTTTTTCTTCAGTTAATATATTTATTTATTAAAGAAATTTGTGAGTCTATACACAGTTTTTTATTATGCTTTGTAGAGGGGACATGTATATTTACCATCGGTTGACATGAAATTCCAAGTCTTCTTGTTAACTCCATTTAGAGTTGACATAAACATAAACATTATGTTTAGGCTTCTTTAAGGAAAAAACTGGGACAAATTTGGGCATATTCCTACTAATCTTATTTCTAACAGTAGAGACTTAAAATTCAAAGAATATAAAGAAATTTATCTTCTTTCTTAGTCTAACCAATAATTATATTTGTTGCTTAGAAAAAGCAGAGAGATCTTGCTAAAATGAGAAAATGTCTCAGACCAGAAGAACTGACAAACCAGATGAACCAAATAGAAATAAGCATGCAACATGAACAGCTGGAAGAAAGCTTTCAGGAACTTGTGGAAGATTACCGACGTGTTCTTGAACGCCTCGCTCAAGAGTAGAGCTTATTTGGCTCTGTACAGGAAGTTTGGAAATTTCTGTACATTGTGTTATGGAAAATCTGATGATGACTTTAATTTTAAAATCTTGTAACATTTACTTACATTAAAAGTTATCTATCTTATCTTTAGTTGAATATTTTCTTTTGGAGAGATTGTATATTTTAAAATACTGTTTAGAGTCTATGAGCATATATTGCATTTTAAAAAAATATATAGCTTCTGAAATATCACTGCAGTCGCTTCCCTTCTTAACAGCATAATAAATGCTTAGTTGTGATATGCTAATGTGTGATGATATGATTCTTAAATACTTATGATAAACTTTTTGGTCTTGTTAAAAAAACTTAAGGTTTTCACATCGTGTAATACCCTCTAGGTCCACTCACATCACAAATGGCTTTTAGGCTTTCATTATCATTCCTCCCATTTTTTGCTTTTAAGATTTTACACCTGGCACCTTTAAACACATTTCTTTAAGGTTTTCCCTGGTAATCTTGTTTTTCCTGTGTGATTTCTCCAAATAAGAAATATTCTTCGTATAGGTTTTGTTTTAAATAAATTCCTCTATCAATTGTTTGTTGGGGGTAGGATGGGTAGCAAGAGAGAAAGGAAACTAGATATAGCCTAAAGCCAAAATGTTTGACATCACATATTAATTGAGGATAATTTAGAAGTTAGCATAAATGTATAAATAAAATTTTGAAAAAGAAGTTAGCCTAAATGTTTTATAAATAATGTAAAATAATAAATAAGTTTATAAAAACCAATTTATACACCATTATTGAAATATATCTTGTGTAAAACGAGGTGTATATGTGTTGTGATTTGTTACAAGGTTCTGAAGATGTTGAAGTCCAACAGGAAAACAACCGAAAGTAATGGTAAATTGTTTACTATAATCTTACTTTATTTTTATTAGAGTATAGATAAATTGTTTGATATGGAACCATTAAAAGTAAAAGCCTCATGTTTATAATGTGTGCCAGTAAGTGAGGTATTGTATAACATCAAAAATGGGATATACATTGAACTTGACTTTTAATTATTTTTTTTTTTTAAAGATTTTATTTGTCAGCGAGAGCACAAGCAGGGGGAGCGGCAGGCAGAAGAAGAAGCAGGCTCCCTGCTGGTGGCTCAGTTGGTTAAGCTTTCCACTCAGGGCATAAACGTTACTTTTAAAATCTGATTTGTTCAATGCTTATGGCAAAATCCCAACTTGGATAAGCACTGTCCTGTCCTGAGATCAGCTTTCCATCAGTAAAACCTGTCAGACATAGGAAAAACAAAGTAACTCATCCCCTTTGGACACAAAATAGCCGTGGCCAGCGGCACACCAATAGCACTAAGCCAAGCCCCCTTCCAGGGTGTTGGAAAAGTTTTAGTCTCCCCTCAAAAGCTTCTATATATAGATGAAACTTGGATTTCTGAAAGTGTATATATACATTATTTGTTCAGATAGAATGAACTAGTTCAGTTAAAATCCTTTCTGAAAATACATGAAAGCAATTTGCTTTCCATCTAAATTAGCTAAATTAAAAATTTTTTATTAAAAATTCACATTTGATACCTCAAGATGAGCTCCAAGGGAGGGGGTGGACAGTACAGTCTAAACAAATTATCTTTCAACATATTTTTGATGTAGAAACCAGAAAAAGCCAGTGAAATACCAATTTCTGTATTTTTTTAAAGCAATGTTCTATGATCCGTTTATGAATAAAAATCTGGTTTAACATTAATCTTTGGGACTTGAAAGGCTGTACCTTCTTTTGGATTTAGAAGGATGAAAATGTGATAGATCCATATCTTGTGTGGTATAATTAAATATCAGAATGGGTGTGTAGGACCATGTATGAATCCAACACAGCCACCTTCTAGGTCCTGGGGTCACTTTCCACCCTCCAGTAGTAGCCTTCACCTATTTTATCATCCACATACCCATCTGTATTTATTTGTGGCCTTTACTTTTTTCACTGACCTCCCCTGCCAATCACCCTTAATTTTTTCCGTGTCCTCCAAATTGCATTTTCTCTGCATGTAAGAACATGATTGCTTTCTGAGCATCAGTTTTTCATCTGTAAAATGAGGTTGTACTAGAATTATCTCTAGGCTTCCTCCCTGTTCTAAGATACATGTTTATGCTTTTCATCTTTTCTTCTCATTCTAAATGCTTTTATACTAAAATGTGAGTGTAGATGTGGTGTTTATCTAAAAGCATTTTTGTAAGTCATTCAAATTTCATAGTTTATATGTGAGTTAGCATGAGAGGAAAAAACCAAAACACTCTATGTCCCTGATTGTCTCCAAATTGCCAGGGCCCCAGCGTGCTGCATCAGAACCTTATCCCAAAAATTTATCTCATCCACTGCCATCCTTGCCTACTAGAAGAAAGTGGACAGCAAAGCCCCCAACACTGTATCAGAGAATGATTAGAATCATAGACCTTAGAGGTCAAATGATTTAATTCCTTAAACTCAATCTTAAGTTCTTTTTATTTGAATTTAAAAGTCTGTTTAATAGTATTAAATATTGATTAAATAACAAAGTACCCATAATTCTTCCTTTAAAAAAAAAAATTTATTTATTAGAGAGAACACAAGCTTGGGAGGAGCAAAGGAAGTGAAAATCCTCAAGCAGACTCCCTGCCTGATGCAGAACTCAGTCCCAGAACCCTGAGATCATGACCTGAGCTGAAATCAAGAGTCAGGACGCTTAACCAATTGAACCACCCAGTTGCTCCCATAATTCTTCCTTCTGAATGAAATTATTTTCCATTCATATATTATGTCTATTTACATTAAACATACCAGTGGATTTAGCGTGTTTTAAATGTTCTTCTAACAGGTAAACAATATTTCATATTGATATGCCCATAATAAACTATTTACTTAGATTTTTTTTATTATAACATTCAAATGATATATATATATATATATATATATATATATATCTTTTCATCTGTTAGACATGTCCTTAAGATAAATTCCTGGGAAATGCAGTTACTGAGTCAAAGGGCAAGAATATCTCTATGACTCAGTTACTCAAACAAGCCATATTTTCCAGAATAGCTTATAAATTACTAACATAGGAATGTGTATACTAGTTTTAACAGAATTTCAGTGGCATGGGATATTGATTTTGTTGTTTCAATAGTATAGAATCTCAAATCTATATTTCTTTTGCTTAATGGGAAGACTGAATATTCTTGGTTTTTTGTTTTTTTGTTTTTTAAAGATTTTATTTATTTTTTTGACAGAGACACAGTGAGAGAGGGAACAGAAGCAGGGGGAGTGGGAGAGGGAGATGCAGGCTTCCCACTGAGCAGGGAGCCTGATGCAGGGCTCAATCCCAGGACCCTGGATCATGACCTGAGCTGAAGGCAGACGTTTAACAACTGAGAAACCCAGGCGCCCCATTCTTCTGTTTTTTTGTTTTTTTGTTTTTTTTTAAAGATTTTATTTATTTATTTGACAGACAGAGTTCACAAGTAGGCAGAGAGGCAGGCAGAGAGAGATAGAGGGAAGCAGGCTCCCTGCTGAGCAGAAAGCCCGATGCGGGACTCTATCCCAGGAACCTGAGATCATGACCTGAGCCGAAGGCAGCGGCTTAACCCACTGAGCCACCCAGGCACCCTCTTCTGTTTTTTAAATGAAATTTTTCCTAATATGAATTATCCATTTGATTCTTTAAAAATTTATATTTTGGGATCTACACTCTCACTTTATAGATGGACAATAGATCGAGAGTTTCACTTGCATAAGGTCACATATAAATTTATTGCAAAGTCAGGACTATCTCCTGGGCTTCTGCTCCATCTTATTTTCTATCAAGTCGGCTAACCAAGTCTTAAGCATGCCCACTAAGCTCTTTGTAAGAGGGACTTTTTTTCATTGGCATCTGGAGAACACCTCACTTGCATGACATTCACCCTAGGCACCAGACAAATACCTTAACTGCCCTCTTGTTTTTATAACCATAGAGGAGCAGGTATTAGGAAAAGGATATTTGGTTATAATGACTAAAAGTAATGGTGCCTCATTTGAAGTACAGCTTGAAGTTCCTCATTTCCTCTCAACATTTTCAAGCTTTCAACATCTATACTTTTTCTGTTTCCATATTCTTTCATATCTTCATTATAATACATATTTCATTCTCCCTTGTATTATGTGTTACAGTGGGGCTGTACAATGCATTTACTCATTGATTTGGGTAGAGCTGTCATATATATAACAAGTAGTATGCACGTAGTACAAAATTGCAAAAGGGCATACAATAAAAAGTTCCCCACCATAGTCCTCCAGAAACAATCCCCTGTTCCTAATAATTTGTATATATATAGATGCATAAATGAGCACATATGTTTGTATCTTTTATTTTACATATGGTAACCTACATATATTGTTAGCTAAGTTGCTTTTTTTTTTTTTTTTAAGATTTATTTATGGTAGGGGGGAACACGTGAGCAGAGGTAGAGACAGAAGGAGAGGAAGAGAAAAGCAGATTCTCCACTGAGCACGAAGCCAGATATGGGGCTCGATCTCACAACACTGAGATCATGACCTGAGCCAAAATCAAGAGTTAGAGACCTAACCAACTGAGTCACCCAGGCACCCCTGTAACTTGCTTTTTAAGCGATATATCTTGGGACACCTCGGTGGCTCAGTCAGTTAAACAACCGGCTCTTGATTGCCACTCAGGTCATGATCTCGGGGTCCTGGGATAGAGCCCCATCTCAGGCTCCAGGCTTAGTGGGGAGTTTGCTTGAGATTCTTTCCCTCTGCCCCCCTCCCTACTTGCATGCTCTCTTTCTAATAAATAAATATTTTTGAAAAATAAGAAACTTGATATATCTTGGAGATCATTAACGCTGTCTTGTTTAATGGCTGCACAGTATTCCGTTGTATGGATATATCATAAGTCACTTTACCGGTCCCCTATTATTTAAGTGGTTCCCAGTATTTTCCATTACAAACAGTACTGCAATGCCTATTCCTATACAGATGCAAGTACACCTACACACTGAAGCCCTAGAAATCATATCTTTATTCTGATCTCATCCTTCTAGTGACTACACTACATTTACAACAGTCAAATGCACATGAACAAAGGTTACAGAAGCTTGAAC